GTCAACTTAACATTCTTCTGATCTCAAGTTTTATGTACCATACTACCACTATTTTGCCATATTCAAATTTGGTTTTCACAGTTCAATAGAACTTTTAGTATAGTTTCTAATTTGTAAATTGTATTTACTACCGTCTACCACCAGTTTTCATGTGCACATAAGAGAGAATTAACTTTATGATCCTTCAAGTGTCATAGACTGAAAAGTGATGTTTTTAGGGATGGAGATGGTTAAGTTATGTACTGAGTATTATTTGTTTACATTTTAAACATTAGTCAGAATATGATACACCATATGATTTGTTTTTTCATATTTACCTAATGCAATTAGTACTAATTTATACTACGTATTAAATTACTAATATATGTAATACTGCATAGTATTTGTGTTAATTTAGAAGAGTCATTAACATGCATAAATATATTTAATAGAAAGTATTGATGGAACATTTGTCTTGTCAGCTTATCTAATTTTTTTTCTCTAAATTACCTCTACGACTTGCTCTAGCTCATGTAATATGCTCTTAACCCAGTGTCAACGTTAGCTCTTTGACCAGACATTGTCAACGAGCTAATATATGTTGAGAAGGGCTAAAAGCCCTCTAAAAGAGTCTTTCAGCAAACAAGGCCACTAACTTTTTCATAATAAAAAACCTGACGTTCAGTTTTTGAAAAAAACTTGCAGTTGTTTCCCTCCTTGATTAAAAACATCAGTCCGGAGATGATGGCTAAGATGGGCCAGCAATTCGGACTTGACCTTTCTCAGGAAGATGCAGAAAAAGCTCAGCAGGCCATATCATCTTTATCACCAGATGACTTGGATAGAATGGTACTTTCTTTGCTCGATTGTTCAGCAGCGGGAAATATACCATCTTTGTCCACATTAATATAGTAGAAATGTTCTTTGTGGTTCTTTCACTGAAGTTTAAATGACTTTCTTTTCCATTTTCTCTCACGAAAAATGCAGATGAAATGGGCAGATAGAATTCAAAGAGGGGTAGAGGGTGCGAAAAAGACGAAGAATTGGATTTTGGGAAAGCCCGGTATGATCTTAGCAGTACTTATGCTGCTCTTGGCCATCCTTCTTCACTGGCTCGGCTTCATAGGCCGTTAGTTTCCTATCATTCCTGTTTCTCATGGGCGAAGAAAGTGACACCCCTGACCCGGCATATTCATTACTATCACAAGTAGTACTGTGGTTGACATTTAAACTGGAAAAGTCTATTATGTTGTATGTGAGACAGGTGTCGTATATTTTGTTGATGTCTATGATAGGTTAACTGCCATTTTGTACTACTTGTACTTGGCGATCTATCCCATTATTAAATCATTTTCTCTCAATCCATCGTGTGAATCCTAGGTGGATATCAAGTAAAAGTAGTACAAAATGGCAGAACAGAACAGTAATTCACCCTCATTTCCTTGTGAAATCATGTTGCTACTTTATTTTATACTACTACTTCGATGGATATGTAAAATGTAGAAATAATATACAATAGAAATTATGTATTATTGCATTACAGAGATCATACAATGAGGACGTCACAAGTCTTATTTCCAAAAGATATCGGGGTTGGTTAACATGAATCGATACATGATATCACCACCAAAAGGAAAAGAAAGAAAATAAAGATAAAAAATAAGCTATTATAAAAAGATAATTTAAAACGATAACTTAAAAGAAAGAAAATAAAGATAATTCTAATACCCGGACCTACCACATTTGCAAGACGGGGTGGGGCGGACCCACCCCAAATGTCTCGAGCCAGGACGGGTCATTACGGATTGTTTTTTTACATCCCTAGCCATTTTGCAACCGGTCACACCACCCTCATGTGCGCCGGTCTAAGTAGCATGGAAACGCGAAACGGGAAACGCGAGAAACGTAATTTCTAAAAAATATAGGATACGAAACGTGGGGAAACGCGTAAATATTATAAAATATAAAGATATATTTATAAATATTTTTTGATATATGTACATAAGTTTTTCCATATGCACATGTTTTTTTCATATAATTTGTTTAGAACCAAATAATAAAATCACCCTACATGTTCGAATTTAGATATTATTTCATATTAGTATATAATAATTAAACATAAAATGTACGGAGTAATACATTTTTAGCAATACATTGCTTCACGAAATGTAACAAGTGTTGTTGCTGAGATTTACCACAAAAAATCACTATTAAAAAAATTATTTTCCACCACAGAATCTTAAAATAAATTGGAACCCGAAGTTTCTGAAACGTAGTGAAACGGGTTTCTAAATTTTTCTTAATTACGGAAACGGCCCGAAACGGGAATTTGAAGTTTCCGAAACGCTTCCGAGTTTCCGAAACGTGGGAAGGTCAGCCGGGAAGAATTTCCGTGCTTCATGGGCGCCGGTTGCGTGCTATAATTTGCAAAAAATTATAATCGACTGCAAGTAAAATTGGATTAGGCCAAGTAGACAAGTAAAACAACTGAAATTTCTGGTAAACTATACGGAGTACGTGTATACTCCCTCGGCCCTTAAAAACTCCAGTCTTCTTTTGAGGTAATTTACAAGAAAATGACATAAATCTTTCAAAAAAAAATCACATAAATGGACTGAATTTACAACAAAAATAGAAATTGGATTGCGAAGAAAGTGAGCAATATATTAGATTGAGAAAAAGGCGAAACTCCGCAATATAAAAAGAAACAAATACAATTACACCCATATACAATGAGAGGGAATACTGATCGAGCCATCGTGGTGAAGGAGATGAGAACTTTTCTTTGCTGCTAAGCTCCGGTTGGTGAAACTCGCCAGTTTTTTGTTAGGTGTTGTTGGTGAAGGCCATCAGTTTGCTGCAACTCGGAGAGAGGGGGAGCCCAATGTCGGGAGGAGAAGCCAGGGTTATTTAAGGAAGCTGAATGTCTGAATCGTAAGGAGTATACAATTTGGGCTGAGCGAATAAATGGTGAATTGTCTGACCAATTAAGTCTTCCTTCATATTAAGTCCTAAGTAAACAGAGCTATTAGGGGATTTCCTGTCAACAAGCTGAAGCAGGTGAAATTGATCCTTACAGATTTTGAAGAAGAATAATGATAACGCATCTGTGCTATACTTGACATATTCTTACTCCGTATTTCTTTTTCATTATAGCAATATGTATTATTCTCGATTTCTTTTTAGCTGCAAGTTTGTAACGTATTGAATTTTTCAGTATTCACATGTTTTATTTGACTACACAGCTACACTTTATTTATTGATGTATTACATTTTTCATGAATAATATTGTTGAATTTCTCTTAATAAATATTCAAAATCTGATTTGACATACTTTTTAGTTTTTACTAATAGAGAATTAAATATATTTACAGTAAAGGTTTTGCGTTTGCAAGCGTAACAACTATGATTGATTTGAACTCTCCTTTCATGTATCTCATATTAACAAGTCATGAACTCCGCAAAGTATTTTTGTGGTCGATAATACTTTTCTTGCATGGAACAACTCCTAAATCCAATTAGTACATATAGATCAGAGTACCTTGGAGTTACTGTGAAATATTAATAAAGGTATAATTTACAAGAGTGAACTCATTTTTAGTAATGTCAACTCATTTAAAAACTAGTAATGTAGAAAACGTAGGAGAGAACGTACATAAGTAGAAAATAAAAGATTAAAAGTAGAATAAGTAAGAGAATTTGAGTATTTTTAAAGGAAAACCTTACAAAAAGGAAAAGCGTAACCAACCTTTAAATACATCCTAAATAGAAAAATGTAGCAAACTTTTAAATATGGAAAGAGTATAATGATACTATAATTATAGTTATAACTATAAATAAATTATAAGAGATGTAGGGCTAGGAAACACATAAAAGTGCTTCCTAAGTGAAAAATAAGAAGCATTTTTGCCATTAATGTGAAAAAATGAATGAAAGAGATCATATTTTAAGTTAGGCACACTATGGTGTTTTGGTAATGAATATATGAATATATTATAAACAATGTGTAGTATAATATTCAAAGAGTGTTTACACACAACACAAAAGTGCATCAAGATAAAAAATAAAATGTGCATAAGTTAAAAGAAATTGATAATCTTTTTAGCACTTGTAAGTGCACTTTTATCTATATACTACACCTTTTACTATAAACACTTCCACATTATTTTGCCACCATGCCTTGTGGCTAAATTTCATTTAATCCATCCATTGTCAAGTGATTAAAGATCAAGATTTCTTTTCACTTTTTCATTGGAGCACTAGTTTTTACTTGAACCTACCTCTATGTATATCTATACCCATATATAGGTTCTGCAAATGAAAACCTTTGAAAATCATACATCCCATGAAAATGCGAACACTTACACTTTCCCCCCAATGCGAACACTTTGACCGGCACCAGGATTAAGGAATGACAATAAATGATGTTTGCTTTTTATACTTTTGCCCCCATCCTAAAAGTAGATGCTTTTAGGTTGATTAGAAAAAAGTAAAAGTAAGGGTAAAGTTGTGGCTTACTTTTATTTGCATACTCAAAATAGAAAGTGGAAAATCATTTTGGGACAACCAAAATAGGAAATTTTGCTAAACAAATTGGGACGCAGGGAGTATAACGTAAAACAACAACAACAAGAACAACAACAACAACAATAATAATAATAAAAATAAATGGAGTAATCGTATGTAATCAAGGACAGATTTAAGAATGTTGGATCACTTCTTTGGAAATCTTGAAACTAGTCACATTTTTGTCTTCCTCATTTAATTTAGAAAAAATTACACAAATATAACCACTTTAAACCCCACTAACAAAAATATGACTTCATGCCCTATTTTACTCCTAGAACTTGTTCCTTATCAATAGTTATGTAACTCCAAATAATATTAGTAATATTTATGTAATGTTATTCAACTTAGTGAGCTTACGGGTTTCTGTTAATTCATTTATATTATATATATACATAATGTTATCTGATACTCGGTAAATGATATTTGCTTGTCTTTTTTTTTTTTTTGTTTGAAGGACTCCTCATTCATCTTGGAATGGGTGATCATTTCAAGGTGTTTGCAATTGGATTTTTGTTAGGATGGTGCCAAAGACTGATCATGCATCTTTGGAGAAGTGTAATGTTTTTCATGTCATAATAGTCATTCTTTTGCTATATTCAAGCATCTCCAATCGTAGAGTGGATTGAACTAAGGGCCATCCTAAGTGCTATATGCGAGAGATAAAGATAGGATGATGGTGTTGATTTCAATAGAGAAACTGGTGTGTAGGGAAAATTTAAAATTAATTAAAAAGTGGAGAAAGATAGAGATAAATTGTAGACTTAGGTAAAAAATGGAACTCATTTATAGAGATGCCTACTATAAACTTATTTGGTGTTTATTGAGTTATGCTTATATTTACTAAAAGAATAATTTAATATTTATATCTATTAAATATAAATATAAATATAAATACTATGTATTTATATAGTATTTATATAAATACATAGTATTTGTATTTATTGGTATTTGTATTATTGTATATCATTGGTATTTGTATCACTGTATATTATTGTACATATACTATGTCTATAGTACGAATATATTTTTAAAATATGAGGCCCGATAATTAGTGGGGTCTAGTGACTCATAACCTAATTAACCTCTTATTCTCCCGCCATGTATATAGTTATGATACTTGATCAATTACTATTATTATTATTATGAGTTTAAGTCATTAAATAAAATTAATGTACTAGCTAAAAATTTAAAATATTACTTGGACTCTAAGATCTTACTATCTATGTTAAGATCCACCAAGCCCTTATTGATCCGCGCTAGGATTTCAAGTTTAATTGTCATCATGTTGTGAGTTAGGATATTCATACTTCGATTGAATTTGTTTGGCCTGGACTAAATAGGGTCGGGTCGGTTCGGTATAGTAGATGTCTATTTTATGTGTAATTACCACCGTTTAAGCTTGGTGTAGTTTGTTGTGCTTTGATCTGTTTAAGTCCGGCCTTGTTTGATTTGAGATTGAAATCCATTCATTTAAAAACATTCTAATGTTTTATTATCTTCTTTTTCTTATAGCGCAAGCCTAAATCTCCTATGGAAGTAGAATGGTCAACCATTTCAGAAAAGTTTAAAAGAGACCTTCGAGAATTAGGAAAAAAATATCCTGGCATGAAGGACCCCAATTATGGTCGTGAATTATTAAAGCTCTATAAAGAGTGGGATCGTAAAATGTCAGTATTGGAGAAGGCTATGTTTGAAGTGGAAGGGGAAGGTATATTGAACTTGTAATGTGGAATTGGCGTCACATACACTACAATTAGGGATGGATATGGACTAGGTATAAAAGGTGGGGACCGTTTGAATATGTTTCGATTTGACTATAGCATAGATTGTTGGCTATTAAATGCATGTTTTTCGTTGAAGTCCGGATTGTTTTTTTCTTTTATCATCAACTCCAATAAATTTTATTAACTCAACAAGTCATTAGCCAAATGGCTAGCAATACAAATATGTAACACATTAATTTTCATTTGAATGGGAAAATATATTATGACTCCTTTTGATACAAGTTATTTTTCGACCGTCAAGTTAAGAAAGTCAAATATAGATCATTGAAAAATTGTTGTATCCTAAAGTGCACAATCAAGGGTTAAAAATAAATGTAAACATATAAATGATAAAAGCACAATAATATTTCTAAAAGTGCAATGTAGTACTTCTAGGTATGCAGTTTTACTGTATAATAATTACATTAGAGATATGTTCCAAAAAGAAAATTACATTAGAGATTAAAGTGCATAATTGTCCTGATATGGGTGTACGGTGTACCTACTACATACTTTAGCTGCACATTTATTCCTTTTGATATAAAGATTGAAACTGTATTTTTTTTAACCCGGGAAGATTGAAACTATATTATGACTCATATCTGAATGAGTTTCTTTTAACAAACTAAACTAGATCACATATATGTTGTTAAAACATTTATATCATTAAGTGCATAATATTTAGTTTAAGAATAAACGTGTAGATACAAATCATAAAAGTGACCAAAAATAATTTAAAAGTGCATATTTATTTCTTTTAGACATGTAAGTGCACAACTGTATAATTAAAGATAAAAGTGCATCATTTTGCAATATCAGTGCACAACTAAAATATTACATTTGCATATTTTGGAGAAAATATTTTGGAACCACCGGGCCGGTTCGATTTGAATTGCCGGTGGGCCGGTTCACCGGGCCGGGCCTATGGGTGGACCGGTTCTGGTTCAGGCCCAGTTCGGGCCTGGGCCCGGCCGGGCCTCGGTTCAGGAATGGGAGGCCTGGAACTGGCCCGGGTAATCCCGGGTCCGGGCAATCCCGGGTCCGGGCCGGGCCTCGGTTCTAATTTTTTTTTGGCTTTTCCTAATTACCCCCAACCCTCCCTCCTCACCCCCAAACCACTTCAAATGGCCCAAAATACACAGCCCAACCCAAAAACTTAAAAAAAATTCAAAAAAAAAAAATAATTTGGCCTGAACCGGCCGGGCCGGTTCGCTTGCCGGGCCGGTTCTGGGCCGGGCCGCCCGGCCCGGGTCCATCCCTAGCCGGTTCCGGGTCGGGCCGCACGGCTCGAGTCCAGGCCTATAATATTCTATCTTCATCTCAAATTCACCGTTCTATTTAATATTTATACAATTATTATTTCATTGCTACGTGCACCGTTTTTTTTTGTCAAAGTTAGACAAGTATGCTCTTACTCACGCAATTCAGTTGCTATGCGCACGTAATTAAAATACGTTATTATTTGAAGCATCCTGAAGCATACGTGATTAAGTTCCTAGGCCTTATTGCTTTAAAATAAAAATAAGTTTTAATATTTTCTAAAATTTTGTGAAACATGCTTCTAAAAAATAGCGTACTAAATACATTCTTGAAAATTATCTAAAAAATACGGAGTAATACTTTTGATTTTCAGACTTATTAGATATTCATCTGCCTCATTATTTGTATCTCATTCTTCTTTTTGAGGTGTTTCATGAAAATATCTAGAATGTTTTAATTGAGATGTTTTCGTGATGATTTCTAAAAATACGCAAAAGTAGTGGTGGACCGAGCCGGTTCGGGCTTGGGCCCGAGCCCAAACTGGTGGCCACTGGTTCCGGCCTTCCGGGTCCGATTCCGGGCCGGGCCACCCTTTTTTTTTTTTTTTCCTTTTCTCCCCCCCCCTCACCCCCACCCCCCAAATTTGGTCTAAACATCAAGCCCAACTCCATCCGGGCCAAAGAAATGAAAAAAAAAAAATTAAATTCTGGCCCGGAATCGGGCCCGAACCGGCCGGGCCGGGCCGGACCGTCCGACCCGAGTCCACCACTACGCAAAAGGCAATGAGTAATGCAAAATCGTCAAATTAATCGCAAACTATGCCGTCAATGCCAATTTCTTTTTTGCCAGAAAATGTTCTTTCCCATTAAAAAATCCTTGAATTGCAAAGACCTATTATTTAGAAGGCATAATCAGCATGCGTGTAAAGTTACAACACTAATATATTAATGGGTGGTCAAAAGTTACATGACTAAATTGCTAATCTCTCAAATATAAAATATAAAATATAGAGCATTACAGCTTGCCTACTAAATTACCTTTAGAACTAAAATTACAGAATACTCTCTTTTTTTTTATACTTTAGGGACTAAATTTTAATTGTAACTTTACTGATGATGACCATGTTGGATCACTAAATTAAAGTGATGACGATGGCTGGATCACTACATCAAATTAAACGACAAAAATATGACTTATTTTAATATTTTTAAGTGACTTATTCAGTGACTAGTTTATAGTGATTCATCATCTATTGGTGACTTGTCACTATGAAATACGGAGACTATAGTGATTCTTGTCTAATTACTCATACACGGTGATTAATTATATTTTTGTCCAAAAAATATAACTAATCTTATTTTTGTCGGATGAAACTCTCACACTGATAACATATCATTTTTCACATGTATATCCACAGTTACATGGAAATCCCTATTAAATAAACATTTAATAAAAGAGTACAATAATAACATCCTAAAAAAATTTGGGATCAGCTAACATTGATCAGTACATGATTTTGAAGCCAGAATGAAAAATCAAGATAAGAAAGATAAAAATGCAAGATGTAATAAAAAGATATAAAAAGAATATAGTAGAGATGATATATATATATATATATTGCACATTTCAATATCATTTAATGCACATTTCAGTTTCACCAAATGCACAATTTGGTTCCACATAAAACAATCCAACGGTCCAGATTCGTTCTCATTTTTCTCCTAAGATCTGTTCTTACCGCAACCGCTCCCTATATATATATATATATATATATATATATATATATATATATATATATATATATATATATATATATATATATATATATATATATATATATATATATATATATATATATATATATATATATATATATATATATATATATATGCAAAGGAGAGCCAATTACTTATTTGCTTTATTTATTCGATCATTTGCTTATTGGTTTGCTATTTTAATAGTTCAATATGATATATTTATTCTGTTTGAGTGTGCATTTTTTCATGTGCTGATTGCTATGTGCTCATTGAACTGTTTGAGTCGATCTGAGTTTTCACTATGCATTTTGACATCCTCATGGAAGGTAATATATAGCTACCTAAGGTGTGGTTAATGAAGGTTCTAAACACTTAAATCATTTAGGTGTAAGAGGATACTTTGAAAGAATTCATTGAATTGTGCTAATGTTTCTAATACCATGGTTACTTTTTAGGAAACAACTAATCATCGTAAGCCTCTCTTTAATAAACTTATCATCTTTCATTTTTATCCACCTGTTTTTAGTTTATTAAATTTATTTTGCAATGTATTCTTTCAGACATGCTATAGAATATTTGGAAAAGGGACCGCTATAGAGTCAAGAAGAAGCTGGTGTAAATTTTCAATAGATAGTATCCTTTACAAGGTAGGGAGACACAAGAGTAACTAAAAATGCTCAAGATGGTAGAATATAAACCTGGTCTTTAAAATTCAGGTACAGAGGTACCTATAATGGTGTATGACTTTAGCTTTCTTTAACGTACAGTTTTAAGTTCTATAATAAAGAAATAATAAAGGTTTTTTTCACGCATCACTTTTCTCACCATTTATGTTATTCACTTATCCCTCTCATTAAATTCTTTTCACGTATCATTTTGAAATGTTCTAAAAAAGTATTTTCACTTTTCTTTTTGTGGAGATATGTGGATCCTACACATCAAAATTGTGAAATAAAAATGGGACTCATATGTGAGTGTATAAGAGTCAACACCCAACCATTGGAGATGCTTACTAGACCAATTTGGTGTTTATTGAGTTTTTTTATTTTGTATATGCTTATTACTTTCTCTACAACTATTGTGACGTGAGTATATGTTATTTTATGGTTGTCTTTATTGCCTGAACGGGTAATCATGCTCGATTTTTTCCCCTTATTCAAGAATATTACTACTACCTAAACTCAACAAATGATAATTCAACAAAGGAATATGTATATTCATTCCCTAAACTCGTTTGTTTTATTCCCAAAAGAATAAATTAATAAAGGAATTTGTATAATTATATGTATATGTATTATTGTATATTTATTGTACTAAAATAATATACTATATAGTACTATTTTTTTTAATATCATGCTCAATAATTAGTGGGGTCCATTGGTTCATAATCTAATTAACCTCTTATTCTTCTGTCATGTGTGAAGTTATGATACTTTATCAATTATTATTGTTAAGAACTAATTATAAAATTTTGAGTTTAAGTCATTAAATGAATTTGCTAATCAAGGTTTGAATTATTATTTGGACTCTAAGACTTATTACTATCTATGTCTGATCTGTTTTGATTGGGGATTTAAATTAGTCCATTTAAAAACATTCTTAATGTTTTTTTTATCTTCTATTTCTTCTTATAGCGCAAGCCTAAATCTCCCATAGAAGCAGAATTGTCAGCCCTTTCAGAGAAGTTTGAAAGAGATCTTCGAGAATTAGGTAAAAAATATCCCAACATGGAGGATCGCAATTATGGTCGTGAATTAGTAAAGCTCTATACAAAGTACGATCGTAAAGTATTACCATTGGAGAAGGCTCTCCTTGAAGAGGTAGAGATGTTGAACTTGTTATTGTTGTGCGTGCATCTCATTCAGTTTCACAGGTTTTGAAATATAATACTACCTCCGTCCCCAAAAAAATTTATTTTAATTTTGAGTTATTTATAATAAAAAAATTATATGAAAATGTTATTTGTTAAAAGTACTTTCATAAAAGTATAAAAATTTTAACTTTTATTATATTATGTGACATTCATGTAATTTCCATGTGTAAATTTGTGTTTTTAATTAGTTTAGAGTGATTGTTA